TGTTTACATCAGTGCTTAATATCAAAATTAAGTTAGCACTATAAAATTGTTTACAAAGCTTACTTCATTCTACATATTTATGCTTACTGCTTTCATTTAAATATTGTTGTATAGATGTGCTGATACTTTAGCTATTCAGTATAGACGAATGAGTTGCTAAAGTATCAGTGCAACCACACAACAATACTTAAAATTGTTGTATTGATATTTTAACAATTCAATCGACAAAATATTGAGTTGCTAAAGTATCAGCACATCTAATAAACTTAACTTTCATTGTAATAAATTAAATAGAGAAATTCAAAATTAGCCTAACAGGCTTTCTCAGACAATTAACTTACTGGCACTCTTAACGCAACGGCCGCAAACGGCTAAACCCTGACAGCAGAAGTTGATGTAGCCAATTCTCGCATTCTCTTTCGATCTCAAAAGCTTCACCTTAAATACTTTTACCTCATTTGCATCCTAAACACGTTTACTTACTAACTTATTTACATTCTAGTGTGGAAACGGAAAGTAGAATTGACAGTACTGAAATAATACAAAACAGGATAGTATTTTCTCTCTCCTTCCAGCATGCCTTCGTGGTGTAACGGTTAGCACACTCGCCGCATATTCGAGAGGTTCAGGTTAGAGTCCCGGTAAGCGCATTGCTCATTTTTCCCATCTCCAGCATGGTTAAGAAATATTTAATTCCTTTCGTTTTGCAGTTATTAAAATTTTTAAAATAAGTGAAATTCTAATTAAATACTTAGATAAAAGTTATTCAAGAACTAGACTAAAGAAATGGGAAAAAAAGGGAGGGATTAACTTCACTTACAAGTGCAATTTCAGATATTGTTATTTTCTAGTAACTAACAAAAAATATCTAAAATCATCTTTAATTTATTTCTTACCAACCTCTAATGGCTCTCCTGCCACCCCCTCTGTTAATTTATTTTATCTTTATTCATGAATCTACTTTGTGCAGCTGAAGAAAAAAGGGGAAAAAAATTCATTTTAACATAGCTTATATATCGGTGTGGGTTTTTGTCAGTGTGGGCTTATATCTATGTGGGCTTTTATCAATGTGTGCTTTCATCGGTGTGGGTATTAGTTGTGTGGGCAATTAATTATCCCAGTGGGGTCTTTTTTGCGGGCTTTTGTCGCATGCGTTTTCGTCCAGTGGGCTTTTGTCTGGTTACCCATTTTACCATTTATTAATATTTACTAATTATTTTTATACACAGTAAATATTGATATATGGTGAAGTGTTAACTGCTTTCAGTTAACTAATCCCAAATCATTGCTAATAATTTACAATTAATTTTTCTTTGTATACAATTTTTTAAAATATACCACCATCCTAACACAGTATCAAGATACTACTGAAGAATTTAAGGACATAATTTATTATTAAGTGTTTCCTACTTGCTTTGATGCAAAAATAATATCATAAATTTACATTGCACATTTATAGCATAATTTTATTTGGAGTCTCAACAGCATTTGGAGACTTCGATGACATAACTTACACAGTCTAAACAGAAGACATTAGATGTTGCGATTCCAGTTTCATACCCAAGAACTAAATATTGTAGAAAGCAGTACCTAATAATTAACTAAAATGTTTTATTTCTTCATGCACTGTATATCAAGTATCCTCATTAAATGATGTTTATGCAAGCTTGTGCTCATAACTGGATTAATATTACTTAGAAGAATAGATACTAGGAGAAGAAAGCTTAACTAACTTAGCAGCCAAAACAATGCATCCACAGAAATGGTATTTTTTAATACCACGAGTATATTTATTTCTACCTTTAGCTCAGCTTTTAAATACCACATAGGTTTTAAGTTCAATTTTTGTTTTTATTTAGAGAAGTATATACATTTGCAAAGAACAAATTTATACTTAAAATGCAATCTTGTTTTAATTAAAATTTTTGATACCACTTTCAGAAATTAAAAGTGTCTGATCACTTTTATGCAACACAGTTTCTTCTTCAATTAGGAGTCTGAGAATTCTTGTTTTAATCGACATGTTCAACCACATTCTTGCAGTTGTTTATATCTTATATATAATTTTTTTTTTTTTTTTTCAAATATTACCAATCATTAAAATGTTCAAAAAGCTCTTTTTGCTAAATTAAATTTATAAATGTAAGATAAGTCTAACAAAATCAAAGAGGAAAAAATACACAATAGAGCATTTTCCACCTTTCTTTATTTATAAATTAACTTTGTGACACATTACTTGATGCATTTTAAGGTTTTAAATTAAAATACTCCCCCCCCAACAAAAAAGCTGATGGTTATGCATTAAAAGAACACAACTGAATATTTTGTAAGTTCCACACACATATATATATATAAAACAGGGTTGCCACTCAAACAGGAGAATGAAATTCCCTGACTTTTCCAGGTTTTCCAGGTGTGTTTCAAGAATATTCCAGTCTATGCGCGTAATGTACGTTGGCTGTGCTAAGAGGTAAATTAATTATGGTATTACTTGTATTGTGTAGCAAATTCACTTAATTATTCAATAAATCCCAGAGGACATTTATTCTTAATTATTCTTGGTATACTTTGTTTGATAATTTTGTTTAGTTTTCCACTTAAGAAACTTAATAAAATTTAGATATATATACATTGGATAACAAATGTATGTTTTATTTAATTATTACTCATGATCATCACCAGTTCAACACGAGGTTAATCCGGTCCTTATAAATCACAACACAATGCTAAATAGTTAGGTTAGATTTTAGGTAAATTTAATTTGCATGAGGTATGTTCTTAAAAGGCACCTTAACACTTGAAAACACAAATATAATTATAATAGGAGTTGTTTTCTCCACTGAAGATTGAGATTAGAATCTTCCCAATCTGGAATAAAATAAGGCTTTTTTTTGCAGACGTTCTGCAGCTAAACGAAAGAAAGAAATCTATTTTAATAAATTGAGGTATTTTATATTTATTTTGCAGCATACATAAGGAAAAAATATGTGCATTAAATTTCGTGATGGTATGTCATCATACTGCTATAATTAATTTCAGGATTATGCCAGAGAAAATTTCCTGAAATTTGGAAATATTATTTACTAATAATAAATAAATTTAGAGGGAAGAAGCAACATTAAATTATATGAATAACATAAAAATAATTACTTAAAAATTGAATTAGAATAATCAATGATATTTTACCGAATATAGTTATATTACATGGCTAGCCTAGATGACTGATTACTATTTTTTTATTTTACTTCAAAATGGCAAGGTATTTATTAAAAAAGAAAAAAAAAGGTTTAAAAAGATTTTGCGGTAAAATTCTAGTATACGGTAAGGCTTTGGCACGATTTTGAAAATTGTCGCCAAGACCAAAATGACCCGTTTACTGCGCATCATGATGTTGCCAAAGCCCATTATTATTCTAAACAAAGAACGTCTATGTAAAGAAGAAAAGGTTCCATACAAGTAAAATGCTATTACGCCGTTAGAATGCGGAGGGAAAATTTGCCAAGGGATTTGGCGACGGAACCTGGCGGCCAGAATTTCTCTCTTCACGATCTTGATGTGTACAGGAAATTGAGAAACACGTGTTAAGAAGAAACGCTCTTTGACAAAAAGAAAACTACGAAAATCCGTTTTTAAAATTATTGCGAAAAATCCACGCAATAATTTTAAAAACGGATTTTCATAGTTTTTTTTCCCCCTGAAAATTACTAATCCATGAATTAATTTACTTGCGCCAAAAAATATTTTCTTTTCTTTTAGAGTTTAACCACTTGCGCTAAGACTAAACTTCACGGTTGCGGTGCCGTGCGCTACAATATAACAAGCGGTAAAGTGTCTCATTTACGCCGCTCCGCATCTGCGAGTGCAATCCAGAGCTGTAACTCGAGAAATAAACAATCTCGTTGTTAGGCAATGTGTGCACCACGTTATTTTCATTTTTGCGATAAATGCTTATCGACGTGGTGTTCACGTCGCTCACAGTTTGAGACAAAAGCATCTCGACGTGCGTGGCACGTCTTTTTTAGCGCAAGTCGTTCAAGAAATTTTAAACGATATTCATTTTATGAACTCTTGATAACGTGACCTTCGAACTTCGACACCGGTTTCGAGCTTCGGCGACAGATATATCAGACATGCACAGCTGTTTCCCTCTATGATGGAACGGAGCCACGTCTGTTGCAGAGAGGTTTTCCTTTTTTACAATACATATTCTTTGATTCTAACCTCCATGGTACCGTATACTAGGATTAAACCCATTTTGTTTTATACGAGAACAGGTACTTTCTTTAGTTCATGCACTGCACATGCGATTCTCGAGAATACTGGAAACCAAAAGTTGCGGGAAAGTTGCTTTGCCTTTCTAAAAGACAATCAAATTGGAGCTGCGAAAATTGGCTCTATGCCAGCTACCCGAATGACACTCACGTGATACATAACTCGCCAAAAAAGTTATCTCTTCCGACGTTGGCGCAAAAACCGCTTTTTTTGGCGGCATCGTTGTATGAACTTCCCTGACTTTTCCCTGAATATTTTGGTCAATTTTCGAATTCCCTGACTTTTCCCGGTTTTCCAGGTAGCGTGGCAGCCCTAATAAAACATTATAAAAAGATACAAGACACTATATAACAGAAACTTTAGAGAGAGAGATAGTAGCACAGAAGTAGAATACAACCTCGAAATAAAATTTAACTTCACTGATATTTATTTAATTATCAGCTTAATACTTTGAAGTACATGCAAATTTAAATGACCTTTTATTAATTCCAGGTAATTGTCACAATTTATAATTTAATAAAAAACCAAAGTTTTAAACAAATTCAAAAGAAATACACCATGCACAAAATTATTTTTATCCTCTTAAAAAAGTGATTGAAAAAGTAACATAAACCCCAATAGTAGCACTCAAGAAATGATATAAATATAATTGCTTATTGTGGTCATTGAATTTAATAAAATAAATATAAAAAGTTCAGTATAAGAAATTAAAAATATGTATATATTACCTTGTGGCAAATCCAGAGATTGTAATCGAAGTACTACTTTTTATAGCTGTTTCCAGAAGGGTTACTATAAAGTAGATACACTCCCGTAAATCAAATCTGCAATGAATATTAAAATATTAAAAATGCACAAAAATACATTATTTACAATTAATTTTCAGAAATTCACTCCCATTTATTACTACATGTATTATGAATATTAAATAGGAAATACCCAACTACACAATAAATTTAGCAAAACACTGGTGGATGCCAGAATGTATACACTGACATGTATTAAAAAAAGTATATACTGATATGTGTATAATGAAATACGGTTCACACTTCATTGCAAGTAAGGATCCACTTTCAGTCCAATGGACAATAAGCTGAACTGGCTAATTAACAAAGAAAAAAGGCTTTATTTCATCACACAGAGGAAAGACTGCCAAGAGCACTCACACAGTTGACTCACTCATTTATAAAAAGCTGATCTAGAATGTAACAATGTGTTTTATAGCAATGGATGAAGTGTGATTGGGATCTATTAGTGACTTGAAAACAATTTTTGGGGATTATTTTGACTACACTTTTTCTTACAGCAAAATGACATGTATTTATTTGCAACTACAAAATAATGATCTAACACTTAATTACTAAATGTGATCTATATTTATTAAGACCTTCATTATTATATTCTTTTATCTAGGGATTAAAAGTAGACCACACTACCACAACTTTGGTGAGATGTCTGTGAAAGTGCACTTTTTTTAAACCTTTTTCAATACGGAGAAACTTTTCTATGAAGCTACACTACTAACAAATAAGGCAACATCCCTTAAAATGTTTCTATCCTTTAACTTATCAACAGCCACTGTTGTAGTACAGCCATGCATTATTTGTAATTATAACTTAACATTCATTAGTATTAAAAAACACTTTATCCTAAAAATTTTCTTTGCAGCTTATTAGTGGAAATTACACTGGTCATCAAAATTAAAGGATAGTGAGAAAAAATATGCTCACTAATTTAATGTTGCAATCAATGCCCAAGGCTGTAATTTATGTTAACTAAATACAAGTGAAGACAAAATTGCACTTTCCTGCATATCTTAGCGCTGGAAATATGCAAAGTCTGTGAATGACAAGGTAGTCACAGACAAAATGAATACATGTTGGAATTCCGGTCTGTAGTACTGTTTAAAGTGAATGTGGTTTCTGATAGTGATTAGTATTCAGTAGTTATAGCTCAAAGGCATCATTTACGTGAAGTTCATAAGTGGAGAATAATTGGTAGAATCAAAGGAGGTCAAACAGAAATGGAGGTTGCCCAAGATTTGAATATCCTTCAAAATGGCACATCAAGAGTTTATAGCCTCTTTTTAAGCACTGGATCAGTTGATAGGCAGGAACTAAGAGCAATAACTGCATCAGAAGACTCTTTTCAGGGTTCGTAAACATTTCCTTACATGAAAATTAAGGACTTTTAAGGACCATCAAAGAAAAAATTAAGGACCTATCAGCAAACATAAAAACGAATAGAATAAAGCAATTATTGATACAACCGACTTCATGCTTGTAATTTCACTTTAAGAAACTAACAGAAGTGTGTATTATGCACTATTATTAAATTCACTTTTAATACTTACCATAAAACAATTTTGAAAATTAAACTAACTCTGTTCCGTCTTTTTGGTAGATAGGTGGCGCTCTTGATGCGCGCCGATGAAAAATATAGCACTTGACGCTTGAACATGAAGAATGACGCATGTCATATTTATTTGATGCTTGATTATGTTTCATGGCCGCTATAGGCAGAAGTAATATAAGTTTATCGTTAATAAATGTTATTTCTATGTTCTAAGAAATCTTGAAGTTTTGATTTGAAATTCTAATGCTCTCCCAACCTTGACTCCTGATACGAAACGATCTTTGAATTCACGACTCATGAAGAGAGACACACATACATATTTTCTGGTGTCTGAAACCCGCGACAAGGGGAATTACCTTTTGAAAGGTAAGAAATTTAATTTATTTGTTCTTGGTATCGATCTTTGAAAACGAAACATAATGGATGATTTAGCAAAAAAGAAAAAGAAACGTGCTATTGTACGTAGTAAAGTTACTACACTTCTAAATAAACTTGAGAAATTATTATCGGAAGCATTAAGTAAAGAACATGTAGAAGATCTAAATTCATCATATGAATTGTTAATTGAATACCATGAGAAACTTAAAACTCTTGACTCAAAGATCGATGCTCTCATAATTGATGAAAAAGAATATGATAACGAACTACTTGTATGTGAAGAGTATGATGAAAAAATTATAACGTTTAAAGCTAAGATTGTTAGTAAAGTAAAGAAAATTTACAGTAATGAAGTTGTTGAAAGATGTATAATTACAACTAGTAATGGTATTAGTAGTACTCTGAATGGTAATAATGTTGTTACAAGTAGTGCTTCAGTAAAATTACCTAAATTAAATATTGAAAAATTTGCTGGTGATCCCAGTAAATGGCTCGAATTCTTTAATTCGTATGATAATGCTATTCATTCTAATCCAAGTTTATCTAAAATAGATAAGTTTACATATTTGAAAAGTTTATTATCTGGTTCAGCATATAATTGTGTTTCTGGTTATGCTTTATCTGAAGAAAATTATGATCTATGCATTAAAAGTTTAGAAGAGAGGTTTGGTCGTAAAGATGTTATTATATCAAAATTCATGCAGATGTTGTTACAATTAGAACAGTTAAAAGTTCTTCAAATGTTTTGGGGTTAAGAAAGCTCTACGATCAGTTACAAATCTGCGTTAGAAATTTAAGTAGTTTAGATGTTACTAGCGGTTCATACGGACAGTTATTGAACCCAATAATTCTTAAATTGTTACCTGAAGATTTTAGCTCTTGAATTCCATAGGAAAAACCATCTAACATCTAACCAAAACAAAACACTGATTGAATTGAAGTGAATTAATAGAGTTCATTAAAATCGAAACTGAATGCCGAGAAGCAAGTATGTTGATTAATAGCTCAAAAGGTAATAAATACACAGGGGTTAATCCTAAACAAGGGTTAAAAAATTATAAAGTCAAATCACAAGCTTCTGCTTTTAACACATCGGTAAAAATGTTTTGCATATTCTGCAAATCAAACGAACATACATCTGCCGGATGTTTGAAATTTTCCGACGAACAAAAACGAAACAAATTAAAAAAGGAAGGTCGCTTGTTACAGATGCTTTCTGAAAATCACATTTGTCGGGCGTTTTGTCAGGTCAAAAATACAACCATGCGAAAATTGTAACGAGAAAAATCATAATAAACTTTTCTGCCGTTTGAAATCGAAAGAAATGGAAGATGTTAACTCCGCAGATATGCAAAATAAAACTTTAGTATCTACTTCCCACTGTAACACTCTAAAACCTGAAAATAGCGTGCTTTTACAGACATGTTCTGTTATTGCTCAAAGCAAAAATAAATCGAGAATCGTAAGATTATTAATTGATTCAGGTAGTGAACGAAATTCATCACCCACAAGATTTAGAATTTAGAATTTTTTGCATGCGATTTAGAATTGCAAGTCATTAGAAAAGAATTTCTAACAATTTATTCGTTTGGAAATCAGCGTAGGTAACTCGCAAGAATTTGATGTATATGTATATAGTCTAAAAATAAAAAATAAAAACGATGATCGCTGCCTTGTTGTAGAAGCTATCAGGGATAGAATTAATATCATCAATAGAATTCCAAGGCAGCCATCCAACATGTCAAAACATTAAAGAATTTATGACTAAAAAAGGTTTGGAACTTTCAGGATACAAGTCCCGTTAATGAGAACATAAATATTCTACTTGGCGCGGAGCATTTCTGGCATATACAAACAGGAAGTAATTTCAATGATAAATGATGGTTTGTTTATAGTACCGACCATATTTGGATACACAGTGATGGGTAAAAAGTAAAAAATAATAATACTCGAATTAATGCGTTGTTTTTATCTGCCGTTGAAGGAAACACATTTGATTTGCAGTCATTTTGGAAATTGGATTCGTTAGGAATTGAAAATGAAAACAAAACATTTTCGGAAACTGATTTGGATACTATTAAGCATTTTAACGCCAGTTTAAAATTTAATAACGGCAGAATACGAAACAAAACTCTTTTGGAAGGACAATAAATCACAACTCGCTGATAATTTTTTTGTTGCTAAACAACGAATTTCTAGGACTTAAAGCATAAATTAAAGGGATATGATTTCCTATATAATGAATATGATAATATATTAGAGAACAAGTTGAAAGGGGGATTGTTGAACAATGTAAGTTTGTTGAAAATGAACCTAACTGTTATTATATGCCTCATAGGCCCGTTATACGTGAAGGAAAAGTAACAACAAGAACAAGAATAGTTTATGATGCCTCTTCTAAGTCTGAAGGAGCTAAATCGTTAAATGAATGTTTGATATCAGGCCCTAATTTAAATCCTAACTTGTTGGATATAATTTTAAAATTTCGCGTACATAAAGTTGCATTTTGTGCAGACATAGAGAAGGCTTTTCACCAAATTCAAATTGATAGTGAAAATAGAAATTTTTTAAGGTTCTTGTGGTTTGATCATTCTTACGACAATAGTGACAATAGTTTAGGCTTTAAGGTTTTCCGAATGTGCCGAGTGCCGTTTGGAATGACAACAAGTCCGTTTATTTTGTCCGCCACTATCAAACATCATATTAAGGGTTATGAAAAGAAATAGCAAAGCTGTTGACATGTTAAATAAGTCCTTATATGTTGATGACCTTATCCATGGAGCAGACTCCGTTGAAGAAGTTTTCTCATTATCAACTGATGCAATTAAAATTCTTCAAGACGCTGGTATGAACTTAAGAAAATTCGAATCAAATTCCGTATCTTTAAAAAATCATTGGCAAGATATTGGTTTAATTAATAAGGAAGATAATTTGGATAAGAAAACGTTAAAGGTGCTGGGAATAATTTGGGATTTGGATGAGGACACATTGAAATTAGATGTACAAGAACTTTTACAACCAGTTGACTGGAAACACGTTACAAAGCGAAAGGTATTACAGATTGTGGCAAAAATTTATGACCCAGTTGGAT